TATATTTGTTGAGGTGCTCATTTTTTTTCTCTTGGTTAACTGGGGTAGTGGTCTGTCAAACTTGTTTATCTTTTCAAAGAACCAGCTCTTGGAATTGTTGATTCTTTGTATTGTTTTTTTTGTTTTGTTTTGTTTCAATTTCATTGATTTCTGCCCTGATTTTTGTTATTTCTACTTGTCTGCTGGGTTTGGGTTTCATTTGCTGTCCCTTTTCAAGTATCTTGAGTTGCAACATTAAGTCATTTGTGTTCTTTCCGATTTTTTGATGTAGGCACTTAGAGCTATAAACTTCCCTCTAAGGACAGCTTTCAGCATGTCCGAGAGGTTTTGTCGTGTTTCATTGTCCTTTTCATTTAGTTCCAGGAATACTTTTATTTCTTTCTTAATTTCTCTTTTGACCCATTCATCATTCAGGAGTGTGTTGTTTAATCTCCATGTGTTCATGTGGTGATTTGGGCTTCTTCTGGTGTTGATTGTAAGTTTTATTGCATTGTGGTCTGATAGAATGCATGGAATTATTTCAGTCTTTTGTATTTGTTGAGGTTTGTGTTGTGCCCCAGTACCTGGTTGACTTTGGAGAAGGTTCCATGGGTGCTGAGTAGAAAGTATGTCCTTTGGTGCTTGGGTGAAATACTCGGTAGATGTCTGTTAAGTACATTTGATATATGGTATTGTTTAATTAAATGTCTCTCTGTTAACTCTCTGCCCTGTTGACCTATCTAATGGAGACCGTGGGGTATTGAAGTCCTTTACTATTAATGAGTTGGGCTTAATCTGGGTCTTAAAGTCCTGTAGTATTGTTTTTATGAAGTTGGGTGCACCAGAGTTTGGTGAATATATGTTCATGGTGGTAATATCTTCTTGATTCATTGTTCCTTTGATCAGAATGAAGTGGCCCTCTTTGTCTCTTCTGATTAGTTTTAGTACTATTTGCTTGGTATATTTTTTTTCATCCTTTCACAAAAAGATGGGTTTTGTTTCTTAATCCATTCACCTATTCTGTGTCTTTTGACTGGGGAGTTCAGTCTGTTTATTTCTGAAGTTATTAATGAAAGATGAGTATTGAATTGTCATTTTTATTTCTGTTTACATTCTTGATATAACTGTACCTTTCCACAGTTATGCCTTCATTGAATTTCTTTCTGCAACCCCTTGGGTATAGTCATTCCTTTCTTCAGCTCTTTGTATTGCTTCCAGAACTCTCTGAAGGGCTGGTTTTGTGGACATGAATTCCTTCAGCCTATTCATGTCATGGAAGATTTTTCTTTCCCCTTCGACTATAATAGACATTTTGGCTGGGTATAGTAATCTGGGTTGGCATCTGTGGTCATTTAAAACTGGGAATACTTTGGTCCAGGCTCTTCCGGCTTTCATAGTTTGCACTTAATAGTCAGCTGTAATCTTAATGGGTTTTCTTTATGTGTGACTTGTTGTTTCTCTTTTGCAGCTTTCAGTATTGTCTCTTTGTTTTGTACATTTAGTGTTTTTACTATGATGTGCCATGGAGTTCCTTTTCTGGTCCTGTCTGTTTGGTGGTCTATATGCTTCTTGTGTTTGTATGGGCATGTCTTTCTTTAATTTGGGGGAAATTTCTTCCATGATTCTCTTGAAGATATGGTCCATGCCATTATCTTGGTATTCTTCTCCTTCCTATATGCCTAGGATTTGTAAGTTTGATCTTTTTATGGTGTCACACAATTCCTGCATATTCCATTCTTGTGATTTCTTAAATTTTTCATAGTCTTTGCTTGAGTGGTCTAGTTCGAAAACTTTATCTTGCAGTCTTGATACTCTGTTTTCCATTTCGTTCATCCTATTGGTGAGGTTTTCTCCTGTTGTTTCTAATTGGCTTACTGAGTGTTTCACTTCTTTCTTCATTTCAGCCTGAGTATTCTTCCATATTTCTAGCTCTTTTCTGCATTCATTCAGAAGTTTATCCCTATCTTCCTTCAGTTCTTTGATTTCTTTGTTTGTGTGTTCTTTAAATTCACTGAATTCTTTTATCATGTTTATAATTGTTCTTTTGAATTCCATGTCCTGCATTATCTCTAGGGGGTTCTCATTGTACTCCTCTAGAGAGGTGTTGGTATTTGGTGGGGATATGTTATTTTGGTTTTTCATGTTATTATTTTTTTCTCTGTGATTTTCACATGTGAATTTCTTTTGTAGTTTCTGATTCTTGTGTGAGACTCAAGCCTTCAAGTTTAGGTCTGCTTCTTTTTGTGAACTTTATGTCTTTGTGATTTACTTTTTGGGCATGAAAAGCTGATTTGTCTAAGCTTCCGGTCTCTCTTTTGATTTTATATTGGAGTGGCCAGATTGCTTTTGTCTTCAGGAGTTCCCACAGAGGCCCAAGTCAGATGAGGATCAGATGCTCTCAGGCTTTCTCCTAAGGTCTGGATCCCTCCAGGAAAGATTTTGGCTTCAGGAATTTGGGGGTTGGACTGGCCTGGGAGCACGGCCCAGGAAAGATGCTGGTCTAGGGCAGCTGGTGGCTGTGCCACCCAGAGAGCCAAAGGAAGATGGGGATGGGAAGTGGCCCCAAGGGCTCCTGGGGACTGCACTGAGGAGCTCGGTTGGTCTGGATGCAAAGGATCAGGAAGAGTAAAGGTCAGCTTCGGCTTCCATGAAAGAGGCTGGTGGGTTGTTCAGACCCAGGGAGGCAGAGGGAGGTGAGGGTGGGGCCAGGCTGAGAGTGCTCCTGGGGACCCTAGAAGGAACTGAGTTGCTCTGGGTGCAAAGGATCAGGAAGAAGTGGTGGTTCCCCAGGTGTCTGGGGTGCCAAGACAAGGAATGGGACAGGACCCAGGCTAGGAGGAGAGATCAGTGGGGGAGATGGGAGGATGAATGAGGCTGGGGGAATCAAAGTGCTGAGGGCGTGATCGACTTACCCCAGAGAGAGGCCTGTGGGTCGTGAAGGCCCAGGGAAGTAGAGCATATCTGGCATTTTACAATTAATAAAAAAGAGATGCAGGTCCATCCACTGTCAAAAGTGATGAACTTTCTTTGTTTTCTCTTAAGGATGAGTAATACTCCATTGCATTTATAAACTACAATTTCTTTACCGATCTGTTTATGGAATGGTGGAAGTTTCTTCTCTCCTTCCTCTATGGGAGTCCTGGGGATTGAACTCAGGTCAACAGGCTTTGTGACTGGCACCTCTAATCACTGAGCCATCACACTGCCAGCTCTGGAACTGCATTTTCAACTTTTTACAGAACACCCATATGATTATCTCTAACATAGACACCAATTTTGATTTCCACAGGAGCGTGCTGATGTTCCCTTTTCTCTATATTCTTGTTGACACTTAGGAGTATTGGTCTTTTTAAACACTGCCCATTCTAGTAGGTCACTGAGGTTCTAACTTTTACTGATGATCAATGGTACTGAACATCTCTCCATGGACCCACTGACTGTTTATGTGCCTTCTTTTGAGAACATCCCCTGCCTATTTAATGACATTTAAATGTAATAGATAGTTTAGTTTTAAAGATTTATTTTACTTTATTTATGCATATGTGTGTGTGTCTCTGTGCAAATGTGTGCACATGAGTGCGGATGCCCACAGAGACCAAAAGAGCACTGGCTCTCCTACAGTTGTGCTACAGGTGGTTGGGACTTACCCCAGTGTGGGTGCTGGGACCCAAACTTGGGTCCTCTGAAAGAGCAGCAAGGGCTCTTCACCGCTGAGCCATATCTCCAGCCTCTATAAACCTTATGGTATTTTAAAGAGTAAATTAACATCACAGTCAACTCACCCAGACCAACACTGCTGTTTTCCAGTAAGTAACTGAGATGGTCAAACATAGCTTTCTGATTCTGTCTGCTTATGCGACAGAAGTAGCAGAGAAAACGGCAGCAATTGGCCACCATCTTGGGAAAGGTGATCTCCTATATAAAGAGCATTTAGTTAGTTATTGAAACAAATATTAAAATCAAGCTTTGAAGAAGAGGCCACACTGACAATGTCTACCCATATGCACCCGTCAATACAAAGCCTCATATATAAAGACTTTCAAACATGCGGGCTGTGATTCATCCAGTCCTTCAGCCACTGGACATCAAGTCCAACACTCAAAAAACTCACCTACATTCACAGATTGGATCTAGAACTAATCTCTATCCTAAACTCACAGGCAGCCTGAGCCTGGCTTAGGAATCAGACACGTACAGCTATGGCTCCTGATTACACAGTTGGCTGTGCTTACATGGGAAACTATATCATCTCCTTTGACTCCATTTTATTAAACTGGGGTTGTTGTTATTAATAATAATAATAATTCATGTAATGAAGAAAGACTATACACCGAGGAAATTTCTGAAGAATATATGGCTCAGAACATAGAACTATTTCATATGGAGTTGTTATCTACATTATAGTGATTATTACTATTATTATTACTACTACTACTAATCAGGGTTTCATGACTCTCCTACTTTATACACAACTTCTTTGCTAAACCCTTCACCAGAAGGCCCACTTGGTGGGTGCCATCTCCCCTACCTCAGAGGCCCCTTCCTTAATGGAATAAACTATTAAGTTTTATAAGTCTATCTACACATTCAAATGGAAAACATGGGCTTATTTTCACTGTAAAGAACCCATGTTACAGGTCTAAATGTAGAGATGTCTTCTGCATGTAAGAGATCATGAAATTGTGCTGAGTTATATAAAGTGATGAAGTTGTTCAGTATGATTTTCTATATACTTTGTTGTCAAGGACTTTGTTATAAATTGTAGGCACTCAAAAATTAACCTTAGAATCGCAAAATGAATGTATTCCAGAGCATTCCTGTCAAGGATTGACTTGGCTCAAAAGTTTAGTGTATCCAACTGTCATCTGAATCCCAGCCATGGTTAGGTAAGTACAGGCTTGGGCCTTAGGCTTAGGATGGGATCTGACTTATAGTTTTAAAATATTAATATCCAATTCGCTTTGGAGGTTGCTTCCTATTTCTTAATTTTCTCACTTAGGAGTAAACAAATTAAATAGCAAAGTTAGGAATTTTTTTTCAGTGTCAAGGGAATAATCCAATAGCCAATATAACTCTTAACCTCATGTGTGTGTGTGTGTGTGTGTGTGTGTGTGTGTGTGTGTGTGTGATAATCAGTGTTCTTTAAACATCAGCCCTCCAAAGATGTGTAAGAAATTCTCATTTTTAGGGTTTCTCGGCAGTCCAAGCATTCTAGGAGGTTATATCCAATGTTGTTCCCGAAGTCAAAGGCTTTCATTTACCTTCGACTCTCCGCCTCCAAGGACGTTCACCATGACTTCCATCACTGTCTCATGCATGCCGAGTGCCCTCATAAGATTAGGATGCTGGTAAAACACTTTGTTATTCATGATATCCCTAGAAAGCAGAGCAAGGCAGGGTTAGAGCAGAGCTCAGGATAAAGAGCCAAGACACCTTTAACAGAGATTCAGACAAGCCTTGAGAAATAATTTACCTGCCTGGTAATGAAGTGTGATCATAAGGCACAAATGTTAATGAGTGCAATTGAGTCCCCTCCCCCCCCAAAAGTCATAGTCTCCCCAAAGTGACTTGAACCTGTATGCTCTTTTCAATGACAAGACATGTACTAAGTATGTACACTAGCAATGTAAAATGTATGTTGGATTATTATTTCTAAATTAATGGATATCCAACTGTGGTAGTTAATTTTGGTCAACTTAACACAAATAGGGCCACCTGGCAAGACGGAACTTCAATTGAGGAATTTCCTTATTCAGATTGGGCTGTGGGCATGTTTATGTGACATTTTCTTGATTGCTATTTGATGTAGGAAGACTCAGGCTACTGTGGGTGGTGCCATCCCTGGGCAGGAGGGCCTGCATTATGTAGCAAAAGAAGCTGAGCAGGCCAGTGAGCAAGCCAGTGAGCAGTGCTCCTCCACGGCCTTGGCTTCAGTTCCTGCCTCCAGTTTTCTCCCTCGAGTTCCTGCCTTGGCTTCCTTCAGGGATGGGCTATAAGGTGTAAGCTGAAATAATGCTGGCTTTGGTCAATGTTTTATCACAGCCACAGAGAAGCAGCTCGGACAGCAGCCATCATTTGTACCTAGACAATGATCAGCATGACATTACACTTTATAAAACTCCTATATAAATGCTTAACATAAGTTGACTCTGATTTTAATCTAGTTGATCGTTTAGTTCTATGTTCAATAGTTACATGGACAATTACAGTAGTATTACTTTCTAGCATATTATTTTGTTGTGGTGGTGAAATGTTTGAAAATGATCCTTATTCTCCAAGAGAAATGATACAGATGTGCCAACAGGGCACAAGCAACCCAGTTCATCAGGATGGACCAGTTCATCAGAATGGACGAATTTATCAAGATGAATCAGTTCATCAAGATGGACCAGTTCATCAGAATGGACCAGTTTATCAGGATGAATCAGTTCATCAGGTTGGACCAGCTCATCGGGATGGACCAAGTCTTCAGGATGGGTGATTTAAAGAAATGGCAGTGGATAATAGAATGATTCAATTGATCTGACTGCCTGAAATATTATGTCAAAGTATTCCTGGGGTTTTTCACGCTGAGCTAAATGTTCCTCTCATTATTGTAAAGAAAAAGAAGTTCCACTGACATATTTCAACATCACTCAACACAATAGTTCAACATCACTCAGCACAAGAGTCTTTTCTATCAAGCACTGGTACTACAATAGCAACAACTCACAAGACAACAAATCTCCATTTCTTGAACTCAACCACCCAC